AGGTAAACTTGAAAGCCAGTTTTCTCAGAATTTTTGATTTTTTAAGTACATAAATAGTATGTACACATTTGTACGTAGGAAGGAAGGTATAACGTCATTGACTTTATTATTTTGGTTATTTACGAGCATCACGTAATGCATACAGTTAGCTGAGTTGGATGCAATATTTCTAATCTAGGTACAGTTATACTCACATACATATATGCACTAGGTATATATATATCAATGGTCCTCTTCCATAACGACACAACTCAAAATTTCATAATTTAGCAATAGCCAGTAGACAATTTCTTTATATCAAATTAGGAATGTTTTCTAAATATTTAGTACGGATTGAACTGAAAAAAGACGAAATAGGTAAGCTAAACGAGGTTAAGGTGTTTAAAACAACCAGAGATCTAACAGAAAAAAATTTAGGTTTTTCATTTAGGCCCTTTTACGGTGATGGCAATGGTATTACGTATTACTATAACTCGTGCTCTGAGCAAACGTACAGCATCTGCGGTGTGTCCGTTTCAATTACATACTTTATTATTTTTCACAACACCCCACGTTTATGTATATGTATATATGTATGTTTAAAAAAAAAAAATTTTTCTTATTTTATTCCACACGTGTTCGCCAAATGAATGAGTCAATATTTCAGCGCTCACCTTTGTTCTATGTGACTATTTGCTAAATCACTTCGTGGGATTCTATTATGTATTTTACTAGCATGTATTTACATACAGTGATACATACTTACAGATGTGAAAGTAGGTAATAATTTAAATATTTGTTTTTCTTTTGTTAATAAATTGATCATAACTTTTAATTTATGTATGCGCATTAGGGTGATCCAAAATAACTAACCTAACGATTTTATGGTCTTAAAAGGATTCTCCGATTTGGAAAAATTTTTATTCCAATTAAAAAAAAAATATTTTCTCAAATGGTTTAATAGTTATAACATTTTTAATGAAAGCAAACTTTTTGACATAGTATTTACATGGAAAATTTCAAATGCCCACCGACACCTTTTAAAATTGAAATAAAAATGTTTCCAAATGGGGGAAATTTTCTTCGCAGTAAATAGGTTGTTCCGAGGAAATAAATTCGTTAGGTTATTTATTTTAGATCACCCTAATGTGCATGTGTGTGTGTGTGTGTGTGTGTGTGTGTGTGTGTGTACATTAGAGTGTCCCAGAAAATAGGGAGTGCATTTCTTATGAGAAAATCGATATGCATACCAGCTTAATTTGTAGTTGTTGACTTAAATAACATATACGTACATTAGGGCGGGGTAATTTGTTCGGAACAAAATTTTCGAAGAAATTGTAATCAAATTCAAATTCTACGATTCATTATAAGCAAAAATTAAGAAAAAACTATATACCAAAAATTACATTTGACCCTTCCAATTTTCAAAAGAAAAAGTAGTATATTGTATGAAGACAACACCAAAATTTGTAAATGAAAAATTAATTTGGTTCAAAAAAAAAATTATAATGCGCTGACTTTTCTTTTAAAAATTGGTAGGGTCAAACGTCATTTTTGGTAAATAGTTCATTCTCCATTTTCGAATCGAACGTAGAATTCGACCCACTCTTTTTGCGAAATTAAACCACTACGCCGTAACGTACATACATATAAAGTTTAGTTGTTGCAGGGTGACGATAACCCATGTCGACTGGAAGCTTAAGTTTTACTAGAAAACTTGTACATCAATTATCCCTGGATCCTGCCTTCTTCAGCACTATTGTACTTGACGTCTGGACATTTATGTATGCTGTTGTCACGGCACTACTAAGCCCTGTTTGAATCTGTCATATTAACAAAAAATTTCAAAATTTTGATGAAACTTTGATGAATTTTGCTAGCTTTTGTACACAGTTTGAAATTATGACTTACACGATTTTTTGTTTAGCTACACTTTCATAAAAATATAATAAACATTAAATAAACGAAAGCAAAATAGCCAATCAATGCTAAAATTCCTCATCCCTATTTATATTTTCGCCACTGTACATATGCGCCGCGCCACAATGGGCATCCCGTACGCCATCAAATTGCCCCACCAACTGGCATAAGTAAAATATTTATGTAAAATATCAGACATTCCGATATAAATAATTGAATTAAAGAAGTTTTAAATTAATTTATTACCCGCAGTGAACAGAGATGAGCTCTGAAAGCAAAGCAGATACACAGAGAAAACACTTGAGAAGGCATTATTATTAGCATCTGCTCACAAAAGTTGTCTACAAAAGTAACGAATAAGTTGTTGTACAAGCAATAAACGTGGAATCACACACACGACGACGACCACAACAACAACAACAACACAATACTGATCAACAATCTGACACAAAAGTGGCAACAATAAAATACTCAAAATAATCGTAACAATCATAAGCAATTAGAGCACAGATTAAAATTTTTTATTAAAGTGAGTGGGCGTTGGTGCTCGATGGTTGTGGGGGATGCGGGGGATATGAGTGATCGTGTATTAGTTAAATCGTATTTAATTTTTCGACACACTAAATCGCATTTTAAACACACTAAAATTTGTAATATACGAAACACGCGAAATGCGTTGTGGCATTACTTAGCTATTTGTGAGTTATATATACATAGATGTGGCAAAATATTACTCAAAAGTGCCTAATCAAATTCGTAAAAATTCGTATGCAAAATAAACAAATACTCGTATTTTTGTTGCGGCACTATTCTCTAAATTAATTGTGTAAAGTGTAAATCTTAATTGGCGCTTTACAAAGCCTGTGGAAGTCGTCAATTCGGTGCTTATAAAGCGGCATACTTTTATGCTAACTATTCGGCGGAGTGAATGCTGATGTTAAATTTTTTACAGTTGGACACTCTAAAAGAAACAGTGTCACAAATAAAATTCACTAAAAAATAAGTGGGAAGTGAATGTTAAGAATAATAATAGTAGATTATCAAAAATGCAGGAACTGTTGTTGAAGTGGCATGAAGAGGTCAAAAATAAATAAAAATTCCGCGATAGCGTTGGGGGTACCTTCCTCCAAAATGTTTGCTCTTGTCAAAGAAGATGTGGAATTATGGCAACTATCTTGAGAGTTTTTTTCTGTCTTTCGAAAGATAAATAAAAGATCTGAGAGCGAGAGAGTCTATGCGTTATTCAATTAATTTTAAGCAAAATTTTCTAAATGAAACACTGAAAATCAAAATTTTCGTAATTATCTCGGTTTTCCATTAGAGTGTGAGTAAATAATTTTTTTGCATAAAAAAAATTCATTTTTTATATAGTTTTTTATCGTTTTTTTATTAATTGTACACCGCTTGATTTCTGTTTTTTTTTCAATTCTAAATGGTGGTTAAACTTTATGGAGTACACTGTATTAATTTTGAGAATGGAAAAACCAAACCTGTATAAGTAACGATTTTTTTATGGCTGCGTACATAAAGTAGCTCTAGCAGGCATGAAAGTACTCGTAACTTCTATAGGTTTAGTTATTCCATTCTTTTATTTTTACAGTGTATGTATTCCATAAAGTTTGGCAACTATTTAGAATAAAAAAATAAAACCTATTACAGTTTACGTCGGAAAGTAATAGCTACAGAACAAAATAAAACTCAGGTGCTCATCTCTGCTCCATATATTTTATTTTTTTGTTTTTTTTTTTTAACACGCTTATACAAATTAGTTTCACCTGTATGTAAATATGTCCAGCTTTTTAATTAGATTTCACAGAAAGACGTTGAGTATACAGTTTTGTAGCCCATTTAACTTAAGTAGAATGAAGTCACGCTTATAGTAGCTGGGAGTTGCGGTTGATTTTTGATTTTTTTTTTTTTTTGTTGAAGGTGCTGCTCATTTTCTTCATATCATCGAATATACATCGTATGGAAGAAAATGACTGGTACCGTCGACGAAAACAAATTTTCAAAAATCAACGGTAAGTCCTAGCTGCTTCGAGCTTGGACTTTGTTGCACTAAAATTGAATGGGCTATAAAACTGCATACTCATAATCTTTCTAAAAAATCTAATTAAAAAGCTCGAAATTTACCAGACGCCATACTGAATCCGCCATTTCGAATTTTGCAATTTTGATAGCGGATTAGTAATTAGTGACCCCAAAAACCCTCTAGTACGAAATTTCGAAGCATTTTGGCCGAACTTTTGGCTTTCGGCCGCACTGTGCGACGTCAGCTCCCAGCAAACGTGTTCTTTCGAAATTCTGGTTGGGTATATTTTTGGCACGTGAAATCTTAGGGACTTAGGGAAACTATTTACATTCGTCTTTTTATAGGCGAGGCTCCTGTTAAACTGTTTTTATTCCATATTTTTGTCTGCTGTGCGTTCTTATTTGAAATTTCAACATTTCGCAAGCGAGTATCGAAAGTATTGGATACTTTTAAAATTGGTTCCAAGTAGCTCAGCACATCACTATTGCCTACTGTCTTTCAATTAATTAAGATTTAATGTAACACAGATCTGCGAAATTTAACATAGGAAGCAAAGGTTTCACTGGGATCCACACACACAACTTTTTTCATAGAAATTGAAATCTTTAAATATGCCAAGAATCTAAAAAAAGGTATCCCGAGCTATACCAGTATACATTAGGACTGTAGTTCCAGATTTAAAAAATTTCAATTGTAATTAAAGTGATGTTAAACGGAAAAGAAATAAAATATTTATGGGTGCTAGACATTATTAATGTATATGCAAATAGGTTGTAAAAATTGTAAACTTGCTGGGCAAACATACTGGGGCTATGCAAATCACGCATAGTCGCAAACGATTTGATGGCACAACAATTCAATTCCAAGTAGTTTTCGAAGTTGAGCTTTTACATTCATAATATATGTATGTAGGTATGTGTGTATATCTATGTACACATTTCGTTGAAAGGAGAGAACTTAAAATTTATGTACTTAAATTTATAAATTTAAAACTTCTGCGAATGTCTTAACTTGCAAACTTAAAAATTTTATCTTCGATTAAATATGCTTGTATTTTTAACACTTCCACTTACCTCGTTATTGGGCCAGGTGATTCACTTACTGCCTTCAACGAACGTCTTAAATGTTTATGGAATGAACCGAGTATGGATCCTTTGCGGGTTAATTGTGATTTATTTTCACCGCCAACACTGTCGACAGGTGTAGGGCCCTCAACGCCACCGCCACTGCCTCCGCCTCCACCGCCGCCACCACCACTACCCTCATCCACACTACTCAAGTTACTGCAGTTTTCTTTTAGGCGCTCCAGTGGCAACGGACTGCCATCTTTTGTGCTACGCTTTTCAAAATCCACTTCGGATATGCGCGCGGACTTTACAATGACGGCATTATTGCCAGTGCTGTCCTTATCATCGAGCAATTTGGTCCACGCATGCTCGCCAATGTTCTCCGCTGTATCGCCAATCATGGTTTTGGTTTTGTATTTGCACGTAGTCGATTTGATAGTGTCTTTGGTAAAAGAGATTCTCAGCAAGTGGATTGTTGAAATACTTTTTGTAACTTAACCTTATTTAAAGTATTGAGTTTATTTACTAATTTTTTCTTAAAAATTATAGCTAACTCTATGGCTTTTAATCATCGACGTAGTACTATGTTACTTGATATATGTATGGCATGGTGAATTTGATTTTTGTAGAGCTGCAAATAGAAGAAATTAATAGAAAAAATATTCATTTCTTGGAATTTCACGGAACTAAAGTGGTGTAAAAACTTAAGAAGTGAGGAGAAAAATTATTTTTCACGTATATTTACTGAGTAAGCAGAATGTAATGGGAATACCTCAAATATTTTTATCTATGGACATAAATTTGAATTTTTGTAGTACACTCAAATATAATCTCAGCAAAAGTTCCCACGATAGTCACTTGTCATTGATATATTTTTGTCAAATTTTTCATTACGGCTGTCAAAATTGACACAGGCAAGCAAAAAAATTTGCATTTTAACACCTATAGAAATAAATATTTAAAAATTATTATTTGAACAAGCACACCTACAATGTTTTATTAATGTTTTCGCATGACTCAAAACTTGTTGGCTAGCAGTAGCGTAGTTGGCAGCTTGTTTAAATGTATTTACGCATGTACATTAGGGTGCCGCACCAGAAAAAATTGCGGGAATTATGAAATCTATTATATTTAAAGACTCTGGTCAAAATGTTACGGGAAAATATTAAAATTTTCGTGAGCTGGACCGATTTGAAAATACCTCCAAAAATATGATTTTTTTGATCCCGTTAATAAAATTTTTAAACATTTTTATGCAAACATTTAAGCTTAAAATCTTATGTGTATCATTTGAGCGGATTATTAAAAGAATATATATTTTTTTTTTAATTTTTTTATGATGAAACGCAATTTTTTTGTTATTTTTAAATCGACCCGGCTCACGTAAATCTCAATATTTTTTCGAAATATTTTGGCAAAAATCTCAAAATTTAATAAATTTTATCATTCCGAAAGAAACCGGGAAAAGTTTTTTTCTGTATGGAGAGTGATGCACCCTAATAATCATGTGCATGCTCTTCAAAATGGCGTAAGAAAAAAGCTTAGAAGTGCCTAATTAGAAAATTAATTAAAATAATTTTTTTTTATAGAAAATTAAGAATTCTTTCTTTTTTAAAGAGATTTGTAGAGCATAAAAAAGCCCTTGTTTATTATATACATCCTATAGGCAACAAACACAAGTAACCGGAATTTGAAATTTGGTGTGAAGATATACATACATATCTATGGTAGACGCTTGTGGTAAATAAAGTATATCGGCACTTGAGTGTAAGATCCACCTATCTCGGCAGCAAGTTCGAAAACGTCCTGTCTCAGAAAACTTTTCAAGAACGTCCTACTTCAGAATATGATTGAAGAACGTCATATTTCAGGATTTTATTGAAAAACACCCTATCTCTGAATTTGGTTGAAGAACGAATGTTGGTTAAAGGCGTTTAAATATGATAAAAGAAAGGGGAGAGTGTTTACGCACATTGTCTGATTTTACATTCAGAAGAAGAACAGCTTTCAAGATCGAAAGATTACTTTGCATCAGTTCTGAACCACGTTTTATCTGATCAAGTTCCACTTTGTCTGATGGACTGACTTGTCTGAATACCAACTCTCGTATAAACCGGATGCTCCCACTGTCCCCGAATTACTTCCGTCATCAAATAATAAAGCAGGTTAGTTTTTCAAAGTTTACCCAAATCTAGCCGCGGAATTATTGCATCCGCTCATAAACACTGGCTGGGAAAGTGGCTACTTAATCTATGTACAACAAAGCTAAGTCTCGTGTCCTTTACAAGGGGACGCTGTCGGAGACCTTCGAAGAGCTGCACACTCTCACCACTTCACTCGATTTTTGTGATGGGGAATAAGTTGGATGCTGGCTTGAGGCCCCTCCTCGACTGTTAACTTCGGTGTCCAATTCATTTCGGGTGTTCACGAGAGGGAAGTCCGAATAATATTTATATATCGTAATGCACCGAACCAAACACTAAAAATATTGTTCACAAAGAGACCCAAATATGAAATAAAAAGAAAAAATTCAATAGTTTCAAGATTTTAACTACTATTTTAATTATACATTATATCCTAAAATGGAGGAAAATGTTTGTTATTGAAAAGTGGAAAAAATGAGCTACCAAATCGGGGATACTCTATTTTTGGGTAGCATTACCGACGTCTGTTTTCGACCAGAGGTGAGTTAAACTGATCGGGAGTCCATTATTTTTTTTTAATTAGACATACGTGTTTCTATCATAGATTCGGACTCTGAGGTTAAAAATATGTAAATTTGGTTCGAAACTCTTTCCTCGGAAGTGTATTTTTCAACCTCTAAATGATCTTCGAAGTCGTCTTGGACTCCTTAAATGAGTAAAAATGTTTTTATTGGAAAACGAAAAAATATGAATTCCCAAGTGGGGTATGCTCATTTTTTGGTTTTATTACCAACTTCCGGTTTCGGCCGTAGCGACCGCTACTCTCGCTATTTGTAATTGTTTTTAAAATTGTCTTACAAAAATACTTAAGACTACACTCAGGCGTGTAGTCGAACTTTTTTGTTTGCTTTCAGGTTGGTACAGCCTAGTATACATACCTACATACAAATGTACGTGTGTGTGTATATTTTTTCATAATCTGCCAGTTTGACAATTCAAACAGAAACTGCATTCAATATAGCATATCCTGAAATATATATATTTCCTAATTTTAGCTTTGCAGGAAACATATTTTCACTAGATATTTTAGGAAATTATATATTATTTTTTAATATTTTTACAGCTGCGTAGTTTGACGTTTATATCGATCTTCGCGTAAAATTTTAACGATTTTGAAATGCCACATGCCGCAGTGTGACAACAGAATGCATAACCGAATAAATCTTCCAAATGTATACGAATGAAACCACAAAAGTATTCTCAATTTAGTTTTATTTAATACACTGTGTAATAAAAACCAAAAAGTTTCAAAACACACTAAAAAGTCATTATGTTCGCGAAACTTTTTAGTTTTTCTCTCAGACATCAGAATTTTTTTTTAAGGACTTTGAAGTTTTGAAGATGTGTGTGTGTGTGTGTGTGTGTGTGTGTGTGTGTGTTATGAGGAAAACAAAATTTTATATATTATACTTTAACATGGAATTTTTCAAAAATATAGCTTGCAAATTTACGAAAATGTTCAAGGATACAATTTTAAAAGGACATTTTCAACACTTATTCGTTCTTGTGCGCTATTTTATTTGACACATATATTGTTATTCTACATTCCATTAGATTTTTTAAATAATTTCTTGAATTGATGAAATCATTGAAATTTCAAAGTTCTTTAAAAAATCTTGTCCTGAAGGAGAGAAACTGAGAACGCAATTTTTAATATTTGGTCTTTTGTGTATAAATTTTACTATCATACGGTGTTTTATTTCATTTAATTTGTCAATAAACTTGATTTTTTTAATTCTTAAATAATTTTTTTTTATTCTGTAACATTTTATTTTATTTTTAAATTAAGTTGATTTCGTTTCATTTTTTTATATAAATTTATTTTATTGTATTTTCCATTCACATACATTAATTAGTTTCATTTAGCATTTTTTTTTATTTATTTTATTTTAATTTTTTTTTTTTATTGTATTTTATTTTTTAATTAAATTTATCGTTTAATTAAATTTATTTTAAGTATTTTGTTGTTTGTATAATTTATCTTAATTTTTTCGTTATTTTGATTAATTTATCATGTTTATTTTAACGTATATTTTTTTTATTTATTTATTTATATATATGTCATTTAATTTTGAATTTAACTTTATATACTTTGATCAAATTTAACTTTTTATTTCATTTAATTTTATTTTGTTTTTAAATTATTTTGTTAACCTTATTTTGATTTTGGTTTAATTTTACTTTGTTTCATTTAAAGTTATTTATTTTATTATACATACTTGATTTTATTTTATTTTACTTAATTTTTTAAAGTTAATTAATTTTACATATTTTGTTTGTATGTTTTAATTTGGTTTTATTTTCTTAATTACTTTTTAATTGTTTTTTTTTTCATTTTAATGTCATTTTTTTATTTTCTGTTTAATCAAATCTAATTTGTTTGGCTGAATTTATTTTTGTTAAATAGTTAAAGTTTATTTACTATTTTTTAATTTAAATTTATTGTTTTATTTATTTTTCATTTTTTTTATGTATAATGATTTTTTTTAGTTTTTCATTTTCTTTATTCAATTTAGTTTTATTTTGTACATTAAAATTATTTTTGTTATATTTTTAGTATATTTAAATATTATTTAAATATATATTTTTTTTTTGGTTTGATTTATTTTCATATTTTATTTTATTAAAATTTTTAAGTTTCACTTTTTTAAATTGAAATAATTTAGATTTTATTTTAAATTGCTTTAATAATTCTTTTTATTTTTGTAAATTTATTTTTATCTTATTTTAGCTAATTTATTTCTAAATTTCATTTTATTTTATTAAGTTTTGTTTCAGTTTAGTTTCGTTTTAGATTTTTTTTCTTATTACGATTGCATGCACACATATATGCGTACATTTTTACGTAGATACGTATGAAAAATACATGAAAATAATTTAAAAAATTAATAAACACATAATGGCGATCACATTTTTCGTTTGTATAATTTTTATTACTTTTTTCATCGCTCGTTTACATTCTGCTACTTCGTAGTTAATTTTTTTTTTTTGCTTTATATTTTTTAATATTTTTTTTTTATTATTATAATTCGTTACCACCACTTCCGCAACCATTTACATATGTTCTGTTTCCTGTGGTTTTTTTTTTGTTTTTTATGTGTAAATAATTTTTTTTTTTTTGTATTTTAGGTAAACACTATAACCTCCAAATCAGGCTATCCTCTATTGACCGGCGCGACGAACCGCTCATTGGACCAATCGGGCAACCAAACTAACTAACTGCCGTGCTCTACTGCCCGCCTAAACACAACCGACCGTTTCGGACTGCAACCGCCATAGAAAATACTACGTTATTCTTGGCTAGACGGCACCGGAATGTAGCCCGATGTGACCGTAACAAGCAACGATCACATATTAACTTGACACTTGAGTGCCTCATGTTGATTTTATTTTCCAAGCATGCAGTCATTAAGTCAATCAGCCGAGCAACCGCTCAACAGAGCCAACTAAACAACCAAGCAAGCAGCAGCAGCAGCAGCGGCAGTGACAGCAACACCGGTAGCTGTAGCCAACAATAACATATGTAGCAGAAAACCTGTACACACAACTAACTGCTGGAGGTCGTTAATGGTGAGGGTGGTGGCTGTGGCGGTCGATTACACACAGCACCTCAGCAGGTTATGTATGTACATACATATGGTGGTAGTATGTGGTATTGACATGTGCGACTGAAACGTGGGAAATGATTGAATGAGCGAATGAATGAATGAATAATAAAAATTCAAAAATAGTTAGTGATTCTAGTGATTCTATAAACTTGTGTAGTTCACTGAGCGGCATTATGAATGTAGTTTTTTGTTTTTTTTTTTTACTCGAAAAGCGAAAAGTTTGTGCCGGCAAGCAAATGCCCCAGCTAGGTGTTACTCTTTTTACTGTATTTGTTATTATTATTCGTTTCCCACTTACACCTGCACGGGCACACGTGAAGAAATACTACTGGATTAGGGTGGTCCTTGAAAATATCAACATTATGGGCGCCCCTTTATTTTGTTCTAAATACGAAATAAAGGCAGCCCGGAAAATTTAAAAATGTGAAAAATATTTACGGTTCGCTACCAGGGTTAAAAAAAAATTCAATTAATTTTTTTAAATCGAAAAAATTCTGTCAAATTTTAGCTTTCACCGGCTACAACTCAGCAAGCTTATTAATTTATATGAATAGGTTTCAATACGCTGAGTTATAGCTGGTCAAAGTCAAAATTTGCCAAATGTTTGCGGTTTTCAAAAATATTAAAATTTGTTCAAAGACTGGTAACGACCCCTAAAAATTTGTTAAAAATGATGAAATTTTTTTTTGATGTCTTTATTTTATACGTAGAGCCAAATAAGGGGATGCCCCGTTTAAAATCTATATGTTGTTATTTTTAAGGACCACCCTAACTTACTTGTACTTACCATCCAACCGTGACTCAAAAGTGGTCTAAAAACGATCGGCTGGGCCAAATAAACACACATATATGTACATTAGGGCGGTCCAAAAACCACCTAGGATTGTTCTATACAGAAAAAATATACCCAAATTTTTTTTTTTTTTTTTTAAATCAAAAAATATTTAAAGGTCGCTTAAAGCGCTCAAAGTTTTCCATGTAAATATTTTTTGGGGAAAATGCAAGTTTTCGTAGAAATGGTAGAGAATTCTTCAAAGTCAATATTTTTCAATCGGAGAACTCTGCCAGTAATAATACGCAATTATTTTTTTAACTATTTTTTTTATCGTAACTATATTTTATAGGTCCGGCAAAACCTCTAGAAAATTTCAGAAAATTCAATGTGGTGATAAATAAAAAATCGTTCGTATTAAAAAATGGTTAAATAAACAATTGGGTATTGTTATTCGAATCTTCTGACGATAGGCAGAGTTTTCCGATCGAAAAATATTTATTTCCAAGAATTCCATACCTTACTTACTTAGTTTGGACCACCCTAATGTACTTACATATACAAATCAAATTGTGGCACAAAAAACACCCCCAACAACAGTAAATGCGGTCAATAAACAGTCTCACTCATAACAGGGCACTCAGAATTTATAAGTTTTGACTCCCACTCATTATATTCACTTCAGTTGTACTTATCTCTTCACGTTTTTATTTCTCACACGCCTTTCAATTTATCTCGATGCTTGAATTTGTTTCTTTTCATAGAGATTTGTTGTCCGTGACTGATGTGGTTACTCTCGTTTTTCGCCTACTCTGGCCACTGTGTTTGTGACAAATTTGTTTCCAATTAATTATTCATAAATTCGAATATTACCAACAAAACTACGAGGGCGTTTTATGCCTGTTAAAGATTTAATGGTAGTTACATATGCGACACTGGCCTGGTGGCCAAAAGCTAAACAAATAAGCGTGATAAGGTCCCGACGAGATTACTGGCGTCAGGCGTACTTGGACCAATATACTAGGCGGAAGTCTTCGCAATCGAAGTCTGTGTTCTCGAATGTCTTCGTAAAAGTAAAAATAGGACCAGAATACATATTATGGATAGTCAGGTAGAATCAAGGTCCTAGATTCATTTTGAATGGCATCAAGGCTTGTGGACAACTGTAAAACTCTTTGAACCACCAGGAAGCACATAATAGTGTAACGATGCGGTGGATCCGTGGATACGAAGGGTTTGAAGGCAACAAAAGGACAGACTGTCTCGCAAAACGTGGAGCCCAAATTCGCTTGCATGGTCCCCAGCGTTTCTGTGGTACATTTGAAAAATACACTGCAGAGCTACTCAGCAGCTGTCACTGGCGGAAGCCGAAGGGAATGTGACAATCAAAGAGATACATAACATCTTACAGAACGAACTCTGAAACTCTCCTTAAACTTAGCCGTGCGGTCTAAATTAAGGTACCATTTGAATAAAATGAAGCTTTCTGTAGAAATGTACTGCAGATTTTGTATATATCTTCGGGAACGATTATATTCTCCGTTCAAAATTTGGGGCATGGCACCCTCGGATGTATTTTTGGTGGTGATTACACAAAGGGATTTGATGTGGAGCGGTTGCCTGTTAGGGAAACTGTAAACCTAGTGTGACCCCTGTTTTTCGCCATCAATTATTTTGCAGCATACAATGAGATGGCATCTCCAGGCTGGTGCCCATATACCAGTACTTAAATAATAAAAAAATATATATATTTTATTTAAAACAATTTCTAAAACTTAAAAGAAAACAAAATGATGAAATAAAAAAATTTATTTTTCTTTTTAAAGCAATAAAATCCAAAAATTAAAAGAAAATGAAATAAACAAAACTAAATTAAATTAAATTTAAAAAAAGGAAAAAATAAGTAAAGTAAGCTTCTAAAAATTAAATGAAATGAAATAAACAATAAAATCTAAAAAGTTAAAAAAAGTTAACAAACAAACAATCAAAATATATTCAAAAAAATATAAAATAAGTTCTCAAAAATCTAATTAACCTAAAAAGTATATATGCTTCTTTATAAAACAATAACATCTAAAATTAAGAAAAAACTTTAATTAAAAAGGAAAAAATACATAAAATAAAAGTACAAATGTAATGAAATTAAAAGCTTTTTTTGCATTTGGAAACAATACAATCTAGAAATAAAATCAAAAAGAAACAAAATTAATTGAAGAAAAGAACAAAATTTTCGCTGCTTTAACACTCGAAATCGGATCTCTGGAATTGCACACCAGTGCTCTGCTCACTCGGCCGTTGCGACTGTTGGAACGGCGCGAGCTAAATTATATAAAAGTGCTTTCTCTCAAAATAAATAAATGAGTGAGGGAGCTTTTTTTCTAAGACGTTTGTGCTAGAATAGCAAAAGCTTTCGAACTATCTTGCCATCTGTCTTTAATTTGTCTTACGAAAGTCTTCTTACCATCTTAGCTAGAATTTCTCCGTTAGTACAACGTGACAAGAAAGAACGCAAAAAGGAGAGAAAAGTAATGAGGCAACAGCACTGAACCGAACTAGAAAAGTGCTTACTTAGAGGATAGAGGGATATGATGTGTAAGTAATTTTAAGGATTACCAATTTTTAACCAATCTCTCAAAGAAGAAATTCAGAAGCGCAAGCGCCACATTATTATTATTATTATTATTATTAATCTACTCCAGCGCCACTGAATAAACTAAAACAGAGGGCTTGAAAACACAACGAGTATGAGTGTACCGGTCTAATCGCTTCCAATTATCCTTTCTAACTTTGGAGCTATTAAATTTGCTCATATTTTATTATTTATTTTCCATTCTAAGTTTCAAGTATTTTTTAAGCGTATGTACATATGTATGCACAATACACACTCGTCGTCATTTGAATAGTGCACCCTTAGTATTTACAGTTTTCCTTTTTTATTGTTCATATGTTAGTTTTTTTATAAAAATAGCTAACAAAGGGATGCTATCCTTATGACCATACTAAAATTAGGTTGCAAAACTGCATACCCAAAATTTTTCTAAAAATATTATTATCTTACTCACTGCTGGTCATTAAGATGAATTTTTTTTTAATTGTATAAAATTTGAAAATCGGATTTAAATGCATTTTTTTGTAGAATATGCCATATATTTATAAAAAATTAATGAATATTAAATAAACAAAAGCAAAACTGTAACTGACTAAGACCAAAAGTGTGGGCTATTCAAAGGACGAGGAGTGTTTGTATATATGTATTTGCACATGTGTCTAAATATGTATGCTAAATACCTAAACGAGCATTTCATTTTCAAACTCATTAATTTATTAAACACTATAAACAGCTTATTGAGACAAATATTGGAAAAGTTTGCGCGTTGACGTCAAAGGGGCGTGTATGTAATTTTCGCTCACTATTTGCAATTTTTCAGAAACGCTTCAAAAGTCACGAAAACGTAATATTGTGCAATTCCGGATAATAAAATGTAAATGAATCAGCAAGTTATACTTTTGCTACTAAGCGAAATTGTGTGAATGCATATGATGATAGCAATCGATGAGTATTTCCGCAATTAAAAGTAAATTTTTGGCTCTATGAAATAATTGTCGAAATTGAAATTTGAATTGAGAAAAATTGTCTACATAAAGTTTC